ATTGATTATTGTACAATTATTCCGATAATTATATATATAATATATATGACTATCGAAATAAATGCACAATAATCAATAATCGGTTAGGTACCACCCGTGAACATGAATTTTGGTCCACCCGAAAATGAAATATCATTTTTGATATTCCGAGTGGTCACAATTATGCAAAAGTACATATAACAATATCGTACTGAAGGATAACACTCACCACTAAGATTTATGATACAATTTATCGCTGCAATATTCAGCTACAATACTGAGACTGGTGGGTGTTGTTCGTCGATGATGCTGTGGTCAGAGGTAAAGCACACACACGTGAAAGAATTATAATTTACGTAATCAAAAGCGAAATTAATATTTACAGAAAGGAAAAAGAAAATATAAATCTAAAATGCTTTAAATAAATTGAAATAAAATTATTTTAACGAGGAATAAGAGTCCTTGCCTGACACTCACTTTTCACAAAATGAATTTACTTTAATACGGCAACTCTGTTCTAAACTATTCGCTCGGACTACTATCACGCTTTCGCGACTGTACGATGAGAAGTGAAAATTAAATAAATGAATTTGGTATAAAACTGTTTAACGAACGACCCGAGTTTTGCCTACCGTTTACTTCGTATTAAAATACTACTGGGTAACGCACTCTAACTCTTAAATGGTTTGCTCGGACTACTCTCGCACTCTATGCGACTGTACGAGAAGAAGTGATCTCGGCTCGCGGTTTGCTCAACTACGTAAACTCTGTCGAACGTTCTAGAAGGTTCGAAGACAAAGGATCTAGAAGCACGTGATGGAAGATTCGTTGATATAAAAACTACCAACATTGCTCGGCGACTTGGTACGCGCGAGAGTCTTGTGTTGACGAATGGTACCGTTCCTTCGCGTCTCGCGCCACCGAACTGCTCAATTCGTCCACGCGACAACGTTACGCGAGTGCGAACACAAGGCCGCTTCAAAATATACCTTAGCTTCCAGAACGTTCCAAATGAAGAAATGCCGAAAGAAATGCTTAACTCGATTTCGTGGTATTTATACATCTCTCCTTTAAACGATGTCTGTAACCGTCGTATCAAATATTTAAGAGAAACGAGTAATATTTGAATTTAGCAGTGATACGTTGTGTGCTTATCCTTTACCACGACGCTTGAATATTTATATCGCATATATAACAATTAACGCATAACTTTCGCAAGACGCAACGCGTACATACTATTATATTTACAATGTGAAACATATTAAACATATTAAACATATTTACAAGATTTACCCGCGGCGCGGTATTGCCAGCAGGGCGAAAGTGGCGTAACGACGTTGATTTCAAGGAGGGAATGTGTATTCTTTCTCATAACGAATTCAGCAAACTACCGTCAAAGGCTAGGTTTGTGTTCGATTAGAACGAATTCGGGATGGTAAACCATCTCGAACACGTTCCTGCCGACGAAATCAAGAAAAATTTAAATTTAAATTGTCGGCACGTAACAGTTCGATGAATACTTATTCTGAACCGTGATTCTTAATTTATATAATCTTAATATTTAATCGAAGACGGAATGTTGCTATATGCATTCTAAATATTCAATTAATTCGGAGATGTACAATGTTTTCCAAGAAAGTAATATTTCCGAACATGAAAAGTTGGGAATAAAATTTAAATAAATAATCGTGAGATATTTTTCTATATTTTAATATCTCTTGATTGGAACAATTAAAGCTTAATACCTCCGACATAAATTAAACATTTGTGATATATACAGCATTATTCAGTGTTTGATTAAACATTAATAACAATAATGGTTCAGAATGAGTATTCATTCGAGACATTAATCGTGAGAAATTTGTCAATATTTTAATATCTAATGATTGCAGCAACTATATATTAATTTCTGACAATAGTTAAATTAATTATTAACAATGCTTATTATTTAAACAATGATGGGGAATATAATTTTGCTGTGACATAAATGTTTCACGAATTATTGTCTTTATGGATTCAACGAGCCTTCGACGCGACCGTCACACGGTTGTTGTTCACCCTTCCCCTTCTCTACTTCGACAGGTACAAGCTTACCACAACCCTCGACACAGATAGACGAAGGGCGCGGTCTCATTCTTCGACGATCCTTCGGTCGGTATGGATCTCGCGATCGCGCGTCAACGTCTCGCGTTCCTCCTTGTGTAGTTTCCCTTAGTTATCGTAGCTTGGTATTGCTTGTGGGTATCTTAGTTTAGTTTCAGTTTAGTTTAGTATCAAACATGGATACTGTTAATTTCTTCAGTAGATCCGAAGTAACATTATCTAATTTTTGTAATATTTAATATTACAAAAATAAATGTTATTGATATATTGAACATTCTTTCTGAACTTTTCCGTCTAAACGATCCCATAGTTCCACTATAAAAAAAAAAACATTTAATATTATTAAATGTTGTTAAATACACATCCAATATAGAATTTAGTAACAAAAGTTGTATAGTAATAATTTACGATTTATATTAATTATTTATTGAAAGTAGTAAGTGTCCACATATTTATGAGCGAGGGTGTATATACTAGCGAATCATACTAAATATAACTTATACTAAAATGTGGAACGCTTCACGACTTTGCGTGTCATGCTTGCGCAGGATCCATGCTAATATTCTCTGTATTGTTCCAATTCTAGTGTATGTACTGATTCGGCAGTACATATGCTATACATATAGTACACCATTGTTCTCATATATGTACATATATACAATCCCTGTACAAATTAATCGATTTATGCAATGAGCGGCTCAATGAATAAACGAGTAAATAACGGTCTTATTAGAAAAACACGCATTCTCCTCTCCCAAATGACTCGATAGAGACGTACACAATCGCTTTACGTCTGTAAAAACAATTTCCATGATCGTCGCAACCAATAAAATTTTTCTTTTGCTATAGCATCGCAACTTTTCTCGACAGGTAAACGGTACAGCCAGTCGCACGAGTCCGTATCTTTCGCCGTCGTTGGTGACACGTGAAAAACTCGGTGTCCGTACGCGATATGGAGCCCGTGCGTCAAGGGGTTAAAAGAGGGAAGCCAATTATCGACTGTTCGCGATACTTGCCATAGAGAGAGAAAGGGAGAGAGCGCGCGCGTTTCGTCCCATTTAGCAATTCACCCGGTTACATGTTTAACGCGCCCCGTTAACTATTTCATATGGGTCGCAACGGATTCGAGGCTAGCGCGACAGAACTCGCGTCAATTTACATTGACGATGAAACCCGAGCTTGCGCATCGACATTAACCGCGGCGGGGTTGCATCCCGTCCCAAACCCGTCATTAATAACGATAACGCGAAACCGGATCGCCCGGGTAAGGAATAAACCGAGAGATTTCGCCGGCCACCGATAAACGGGCGTTGCGTTAGTTTTTCTTTGAGAAATTTTCATTTCTCCGAAGGTTTATTATTGTTTAGATGATCAGAAGAGACGAGAAAGCTGACGCTTTCTGTTTCAACTGTTTTCGTTTGTTACGTCTCGTAACGTCTAAAAACTGGCGACTCGGCAGCACTATGAAGGGAGTATCGGGCACAGGTGACAAGGTGAGGGTACCGCATGCGAATGGTCAGATGGCTAAGCACGCCTAAAAGTAAACCGTCTTCCATGTCACCTCGTACATATCAAATATAGTCACAGTTGCTTCGTATCCGTGACTCGTATTCATAACGTGCAATCTACGAGTCCTCCAGACAGCTTCTATTTAGATAAAATTCTGAAAGAAGCGACTCAACCCTAACTAAAGTATACATTAAAGCCAAAACATCGTTTTTTCGTCAGCGGTATTCGAGGCCAACGCGACACACCTCGCGTCAATTTGCATACAAGGTATAACCCGAGCTGGCGCATCGACGATTAACCGTGTCGTGGTTGCATCTCGTCTCAAACGCGTCATTAATAACGATAACGCGAAACCGGATCGCTTAGGTAAGGAATAAACGGTGCGAGTTCGCTGGCCCGCTCTCGTCGCCTCTTTGGTAAAAAACTAATTTCGCGGGACGATTCCATGATTAACGATGCGAGCTCCGCAGCCAGGGAATCCTCTCGCGCCAAGAACTTTTTTATGCGCCGCTAAATCACGTTCGTGGCCTCGTTTTACGTTAATTTTATTTTACCGTTGATATTATGGCGGTGCCGCGCCGCTAGGAAAAGATAAACGAAACGATGAATTATTCATTCCAAGATAAACACGATTTTAACAAAGAACGATCGCACATTCCGTCGCTGGACCACCGTGGTCCGCCATCTGCGAGAGGGAACGTTAAGTACAACGCTAGGCGACGGTGAAATCCGTCCCTGGACAAATACTGATGACTTTTACCGATTTTCGCGTGCTAAGCTATATCCGATATCAGAAACTGTCCATTATTGCTTCTGCAAGTATTAAGTCTTCCGTAAAGTTCTGTCCGTTCCAGCTACAACAAGTTTTTAACAAGTATGCGAATATTCATTAAAAACGATATACAAATTGCAATCATGCTGACAAGATGTCAAAAATAATGATAAAAATTATATTATTCAATCAAATTTATTCAAGGTATGAGAAATTTATTATTTTGCATTATTCTGAAAATGGGCAGAACTTTTCGGTAGACCTAATAACTGTAGAAAACTTGTTACCAAAGCGAGTTGTTTAATTGAACTATGATCACGTGTGAATTTTGTTGGCGAGTTCGCGATAGGAATTAGAGCGATATCAATCTTATAAACGATTCTGCGTTTGATTTCGGTGCTGCATCGATCTTGTGAGTGGATTTGCTTTTGAATTTCCAGTTGCAATACTCTTGCAGAGAATGATGTACCGCCCAAGGGTATAATGATCCCAGTGGAAGATAATACACCTAATGGAGTGTTAGAATGTCTATTACCTGCGCATGAGCGTGCAGCTACTTAACTTTGGTTTACGAATTGACCCTAGTGCTCACGGCTGCGTCAAACCTGTTGACAGAATTGCCCTTGACTCGGAGCTTCGTCAATCGTGTAAATGATAGTGTTTCCTTGGTTTTTTGTGATTGAAAATCATTTACAAATAGTATGGCCGCATATCTGAAAAATGTCACACTGACGTAACGCTTGATGAGTTGTCAGGGATGGCGATCGATTTTTAGAACAGTCGACAGTATGGGTCTAAAAAATGTCACACTGACGTAACCCTTGACGATAAAGATGTTAGAATAAAATAAACCGCAAAAATGATTTCTGATGGATCGAAACAGATCCAAGTGTTTGAATATCGCGCGACTAGTTCGGTCCTTGACAAACTTCTCAAACAAATACTATACGTATCTGAAGTAATTAACGCCGCCGACCACGATGCGGATGCGGATGCGCAAATGCTTCGTTAGCAGGTTCCAAAAAAATCAGACTTTTTGAATCACGCTTTCGTTGCCAAATCGGGGCAGATTTGAAAGAGCAGCAAGTGGACCGGACGAAATCAGCGTTCAAGAGCGGAGCGGTACGTTACGAAGGAGATGCAGCCGTTCGTGGTCAGACCAGACCGGACTCCAATAGAACATGGGTGAAAATTATTTGTATCGTTTTCAAAGGTCACGGAATTATCCTTTGTTTTTTCTTTAAAGTTTAATAAGATATTACAGAAATTGAAGTTTTTGTCGTTTATTTTTGCAAAATGTCTTTTTTTTATTGATCACTGTAGTTCGCGCTATCGTAACTCTGTACATATAGTATCGTACATTTACGTTAATCTTGTCTCTGGTACACGTTTGTTGGGGCCCACTGGTCCCCATCTAGCTAGGGTACCCCGGGGTCGCTAAGCCCGTACTGTAGCTGGCTATTCGCATGCTGCAGCCCCTGAGGGCGTAAATGATAGCGAAAGATGACAATACAGTGTTGGAATATGTATGCCTTAAAGAGGAAGCCCGGTTCAGAACGTTGAAAATAAGACATTTCCTTATGAATTTTCTAAAAATAATGTATCAAGCGGATCTTTATTAAATTTACAGAGCCTTTTATTCGATAATTGATGATAGCAAATAATTTGTTTTCAAAGAAACTTCAATATTTTCCATCGACAATGTAATTATACGATAAATAAGGCCGATCGCACACGGTCGCAACCGATCAGTTTCAAACCACTATGAAACTATTTGCATGCGACCGTGGATCTAGGTAAAACAAAGATAGTGGAGTAGGTAAAACAAAGTGCGCAAACGGTTTGCAACACTAATTTCAAATCGCTTGCGCCCGTGTACGTTCGGCCTAAGAAAATCTTTAGTTTCTTTGTTCGAGACAAAAATTAAAAACTCTTTAAGGCTTGATACGTTATTTTTAAAAAAATTCGTAAAAAAATGCCCTATTTTCAACGTCCTGGCCTGAGTATTCATTCGCTACCTTAAGTATTCGAGTGCGTACGTACTTAACGCCATCAATCATAGAGACTGTCTCGAGGTCGAATTCAAAGTCGCGTCGGCCACTCCGACGACGCAACGTTGGACCAGGTTTCGCGCGAGGCAAACTTATTTCGGTAAACGTGACGGCGGAACGACGATAGACCAGAACGGGAACTGGAACGAAACGGAAAGGGCGAGGGGTCGAGGGAGCCGAACGTCGATATTCGGACGAATCGCCAATAAGGAGAACATACGATTTCGCTCGTCCCTCTCGAAACGGTATTTCGAGAGGCGTAATTTCCGAGCGTCCGGGCCCTGGGATCCTGTCCCGCGGACTCGATCGTTTATCGGCCGCGTGGCTCGATTAATTAACGGATAATCGATTTACGCCAATTTCATACAAACTGCCCCGCCAAAGTACAACGTCTTTGATGACGTAACCGCCAATCGTCGGATCGACGATACGCGCGGTTTTCAGCGAAAACAATTTCGCTGTCTTCTCAATCCACTCGAAACCACAATGGAATTTATCGTCTATAGCCACGGAACGGGATTCGAACCCCGGACTGTTTTCAAAGGAGCACCGCAACGGGCATAAAGGGAACGAGATTTCGACGCGTTCCTCCGCGTTCCTCCTACGTCCTCGATATGCCGAGATGCGACTGTAACGATTCTTGTCATCGAGACACACCGCTCGGGCCATTTTATCCCTTTTAATCGTTTCATCTCGATAAAACCTCCACCGATTCCCATCTCCTCTCCCTCTCTCTCTTTCTATTTATCTTGCTCCGCGCGTTCCTCTGTCTCGTTTTTTCCTTCTTTCGCCCGTATGGCGACGTCCGAGTTTTGGTTTCCCGTCCACGAATCGGACGTAAAAGCGATATCGGCTGACGGGAGGCCGAGGCGTACGCGAAACAATGGAAAAGAGCCGAGCCGGTGCTTTGATCGTTCTGCGAGGCTCCCTTCCGTCGTCGACCGCGCGCTCTTCAGCGTCGAGAACGCGCGGTTAACGATTACCATTATCGTTACCGTAACGAACGGAATTGGCCATCGCGTCAGCTTCAGTTTGCCGAACAAAGTGGACCAAAGTGGAGGCGAACGAGGTCCGGGGAGTCAGGAAAAAACGATTATACCGTTACGAAGAAATTGTTATGCCTAGCTCGTGATCCCTCGTTGCATCCGGGAGACTCCGGCCCAGAGGATACCGGACATCGTTCCTTTCCTCCGTGGCGTGAATAAACCGGATGGATGGAAGGAAAACGGTACAAAGTTAATTTCTCATCCTCCCCCCGCTTCAGCCACCCATCCATCGTTTTTGTTTTTCTTACTCTTCGTTTCTTCTTCCTCGTCTCCTTTTTTTCCCCTTCTTTTTGCATTCGCCAAGATTTCCCCGCGGAATCCGTTTACAAACGACCCAGCTTATTATCGCCCTTAAAGCACCGCTCGAATCCATTCGCGCGCATCGGCTTCCAAGAGGTAATGGAACAACGGAATAATTGTTTCGACTATCGGCCTTCTTCGCTTTCCGTGCCGCCCCCCTCGTTTTCAACGTCGATACGATCGTCGGGGAAGCTGCTTCGATCTCTCCGACAATTAGTCGGCCGAACGGTCCGCGTAGCCCCAGCCTCGGATCCCCGAGGTGATCAATTTACAAGAGTCTGACTCGCGAACACACTCTCGGCAAAGGCGCCGATTAAATTACTTTTGCGACGAGAATATTTCCACAAGTTTGCTCCCGGTCCCGTGGTCTGGCTCGCGGGTCGCGCCGTCCGGCGGTCGCGATCGCTACTACCGAAACACCGATCGATCGGGAATTCCCGCGTTTACGCGACCAACTATTTTCAATTTACCCGCCCGAGAAAACTGAAGCCGCTCGATCGGAAATGGGGCGCGTTACCGGGGCCGTGAATACTAACAACGATCAGAGTGGAATTAACTATTGTTTCGTATCGATCCGCGTTCGCCAGCTACGGCTGACAACGAGTCAGGATATTGATAATTACGGCACCTGGCGTTGTCCAAAGTATCGCTCCAACGAGCGAGAGGAACGTATGAGCGTGTGGGTGTGTGTTCGAGTACGAGGTGTGTCAGAAAAGTAATGGGACTGAAATTCTTGCCTGGGAACTAGAAGCAATGGATAAGCGGAATACCGTCGAGTCCGAGAGCTACATCCTCGCCGTACTTTCGGAGCGAGCTTCGATTAGCTGGCTGGAAAATGTGTAGTTTCAAACTCGTTTATGTAAGGAGGAACCGCGCTGAAATATCCGTGAATTCTCTGTTGTGCGAAAGAAGCGTTTCAAAGGAAGTTACTGTACGGCATCAAGCGCAACGCATACTATTGCACTATATCTCCGTGAAAACATCCATTGAACTCGTGCCACGTGTGATATTAAAATTTGCTCGTTATTTCTCTAGTCGGCCCGTAACAGAAAATTTTGGTACCGTGCGGAGTGATTTATTTTATTCGAGAGTACGCTATAAATTTCGAAGCTTGAGCTTATCGAACTGTGAATACTAATGAGCTTCCACGTTCCAAAACATAGTAAATGCGGATCGTGTAACGTTTGAGTTGAACTCGTTAATTACGTCAAGCTTATAGAATGCGAACACACTTTTCGGATGTGTGAAAGCCACACTTTAACTCGTAGTCGCGGTCTCCATAGAAAATGATCCTTCGGCCTTTGAGAGCGAATCTTAAACGCAGAGTTCGCAGCTGTACGAATTTGACAGATGATTTGTCTTGCGTTCGAAGCGTAGGTAATACACGCGTTGCACTTCTTAATCGTGTAAATCGTGTAACGCGCGAACTCGCTCCGTTTGAATGAGCAATACATCAGCTGGAAACTCGCGGCAGCATCAACACTACGGACATAGACGCGTTAGAATTCGAAGTTGCATTGATCTGACAGACGCTAATGCACCATTCAAATGTGAAGTATTTCCATTATGGGATGATAATGCATTGTTCGCACGTGTAATGCCTGCAATTGAATTCTTAGCCGAGCTTAACGACGACTGCGCGTTAGAAATCAAAGTTACATCGATCTAGTAGACGGGTTTGCGCTTCAATTCGTTGCTGATCACTGTCACTAACAGTACTTTATTATGTAAACGTGTAGGCGGTACTTCTAGTATAGGGTGATAATGGGCTGTTTGAATACGCAGTACCAACGATTATATTTTTAACCCCGTCGATCTTCTTGCCGAGTTAGCGCTGGAATTCGAGCTATGTTGAGCTTAACAGATAGGTTCGTGCGTGAACGTAGAGCTGCATCAGTCTTACGGGCGATACTATAGCCCGATACTATAGTACCAACGTATAATGTTCGCGATAAATGTCTTAATGGCATCAAATTTATGCAACGATAAAGCACTGCTTAGGGGTGCAATATCCGCGTCGAAATTCAAAGCTCCATCAATATTATAGACTGTACCGCGCTGGAATTTAACGCGTCTTACTCCTGGAAATTCATTGTATAAAGTATTCGTAACGGAAGATGACAACTGCCTCGTTGTATATCGCTTCTGCGTATTTAAATTCAAGGAACTCTCGAGTGCAAGTTGCTACAGATGAAATCCTCGATACACATACCCCCCTTACTTATTAACGTAATTTATTTTATTTATTTTTATTTTCTGACCTCATTGTCTTTTTAGCGGGTATCCAACCGTTGACCTGTGACGTTTTTATTTATTCACCTTTATCGTCTTTTATCTTTTGACCCTTCTTTTTGTTTTTATGTATTTGATTTATGTTTGGGTATGTGTATGTCTGTTTATTTATTTATTTATTTACGTTTCTATTTGTTCCGGACTGCAAAAGCGCCTCCCCGTTTTTGAATACTTATTTATTTATTTATTTTAGGTTAGTTTACTTTCTCCCTCAACTTTATGGGATCTGTGGCCAGGCCATATACACCCGGTCGCCTTAAAGACTCCTTATCGGTACCGTCCGGTAGGGGTAAGGAATAGTGTTAAGGGGAGTCCCGAGCGGGTCCCTTCCCGGCCCGGACCGGGAAGGATATACACGGTCTGTCTAAAAAGAAACCGAACTTTTGCTATAAAAAGAAAAAAGTACAAGTAAAGTTTTTACACACACGGTTATTCACTCAAAATAATCTCCCTCTGCGTCAATACAGCGTGTAGACCGCGTAATTAACATTTCGAAGGACCTTTGCAGCTCCTGTTTTGGTAGCCCGTTTAGTACGGCGGTTACAGCGGCCTGAATCTCCGAAATGTTGCTCTATAAAAGTCCTTTTCATTGGAATTGGCATTGTTACCTTGGATCATTCACTCTACTCGCCTGATCTCTCTCCCTGCGATTATTTTCTTTTCCCAAAATTGAAAATTCCAATAAAAGGGACACATTATAGCAACGTTTCGGAGATTCAGGCCGTTGGTACTGCCGTACTAAACGAGGTACCAAAACAGGAGCTGCAAAGGTCCTTCGAAATGTTAATTACGCGGTCTACACGCTGTATTGACGCAGAGGGAGATTATTTTGAGTGAATAACCGTGTGTGTAAAAACTTTACTTGTACTTTTTTCTTTTTATAGCAAAAGTTCGGTTTCTTTTTAAACAGACCGTGTGTAGAGAGTTTTGGAAAAGAAGGCCCTCTGTGGGCACAGGGTAGTGCGGTCGGCCGACTGGCGACTCCCCTTGGGGCAATGTAATACCACCGGGTAAGTTCAGTCTCAGGGGACCTAGGTGGTGGTTTTTAGTGGGTAGTGTAGGACGTGAGGGTGATAGAACAACGAGGATTCGATTTGCAGTCCTGTTTATTGTAACTCGAGGACGACTCGTTAAAGACTGTCCTTCAAATTTCCTTACACCACCACCTCTTCCTTGCGCCCTTAACGCGTCTCCCCGAGAAGGGGGTGTGCTGAGGTGGGGCAGTACCACCGTTGGAAATTTGGCAATACAGCGGGATTTCCTCCGGGCCTCAGGCCTCGCATCGTCGCCCGCCGAGAGTTGCTTGACTTTGCCTGGCAACCCTTCGGAAGACCTATGGTCTACGACATTAGCAATATGCTATTGAGGCTGTAGGTAATTATCGCGAGGAAATCTGTTAATAACGGAAAAAGACGGCTTTCTCAGAAATACCTTTGTCGTTTGCTTGTCGTAAGCCATTCTGTTTGCACGTGAACCATTATTTTAGATGCGCGCTAGCGGCTACAGTAGAAATTCCACACTACCCCTCAACAACACTTGGAAGGTGTCTTCTAGAAGATTTTCCACCACCTCGGTACAAAAAAAAAGATTAAATCCTCGAGAAACGAAGAATTCTTATTAATTTCTGTACCTTCTTGACGCGTATTTATATACGGATTCTGATTAACAACCGCAAGAACACCGGCAGTATTCCACACAATACACGTTTCCTGTCGTTTCCGTTCCGCGTTGAAGCTGCCAGTTTCTTCGAGCATTTTACTAAGCTTTTCAAACGAACGACGCGATAGTTGATTTCAGTCGGGATATTTTTCCGCAAAAAGTATTCCCTCTCACAGAATTTTCTTCCCGTGCACCGTAAACGAGGGATCGTATCTTGCTTCTCGCTATTATGAAATTTCATCGTTATGCTTACCTACTTGCCACGCTCACTCCTATGGATTTTAGTTTGCGTAGCAATAACTTGGCGCATACACGCCCATGCATATGTATATTTCATGTTTGGATTTGAGAATCAGTCGAGCAAATCTTGTAGGGATTCTTGGTCATGCTCGTGGAAGAATTAATTCTCCGAAGTAGATAATAGGAGTAGATACGTACAGCCAGTGTAATAAGTATTCGTACAGGAACCGATACAAAATGAAACTTCATATATTTATTTTATTAATAAATTTTAGGGGAAGAAATAATTAACCGACATTCCTACATATTTTTAGAGTAAATTTAAACCATAGAATTAATATACTTTAATAGAATTAAAGTCTATTACTTTTAATGTGAACCTCTTATTTCTTTTCTTATTAGTTTTATTTTAAATTGGTTGCTGTACGAATACTTCTTACACTGACTGTATCTATTATACATAGAGAAGTTAAATTTTTGTTCCTGTCTTCGCACCATCGATCATTCGGCAAACAGCATGTTTTTCTTGCCCAATCTCTAACTGATTATTACAGCATCGCCAATGGCGTAACACGTAATTAATCGTGGCAGTGGACGCGATATTTTCGTATCGACTTGACCTCTCGATATCTTTGAGTTGCACGGAACGGAAATATCCAAAGGCGAAAGGTGAGCAGGAGGTTATCGAGGAGGATTCCGTTCGATCCAGCGTCGAAAGCCATAGATCGGCTGGTGGCCGTGGTTGGCAGTTGCTCGACGCCGCTCCACGCGCGTCAGACCTCTCCGTGGTGAGTCGCGTGCATTTTGCACCTGCTCGACGTGCAACGCGCACGCGCACAGGTGCACGACCTACCGGCGCACAGACCTAAACTGGCGCGACGTCGAGCTTTCGTAGTCGGCATCGGCCATCCGCGACGCGAACTTTCACTCGGAGACGCTCCTCGCCTAGCCGTGTCGTGCTGGGCCGCGCCGCGTCGCGACACGTCGCGTCGCTGACAATCGCGTTTGTTCACACCGCTAACTACTGTCTACCGCGAAACAAGTAAGGAAAAAGGTCCCCTCTTTCATTTTTATCCCATTCCAACAATTTTCATTGCCATTTACACGAGTTTCGCCAAGTTTTCCGCGATGCTTTTCTCCACGATAACTGACGCATAGGATGTTCTTTGCATATCTTCAAAGATACTTAAACTTGTACAGATCTTCTACGACAATCCTCCACGATAACTGATCGCGACATAGGATTCCTGGTACACTTCTATCCCCACGGAAATCTCGCGAACGTAATTTCCTTCTCTAATTCTTCGTCTTTCCATTATTAATCCGTCGACCAACCGATCGCATCGCCCTGCGCGCGCTTTGGACAATGGACGTGCACGCTCGGTGGACGGAAGTAGTCTTCGGTGAAGTAACCGCTACCAGCGGCGTTGCGGTCAGCCGCTCTCGAATCCCAATCGCAAATCGACGCCAACACCCATGAACGGACTTTGGAATTCGATTTCACGGGGTGGACGAGTGTCCTAAGGGTTCGGGGAACCTCGGAGGACGGTCGAGTAGATTGCAGTTTTTGTGGGTAGAATCCGGAGATCGCGAGGATCGTTGATCGCGCGACTACGACTCGAGGATTAAACCCTTTCGCTACAAACAGCGACCTTAGTTCGACGAAACGTTGTGCATTCAAGAATCGCTGAATCGGATACTATCGACGTGACTACGTTTTGGAATTGTATTTGTTACGGGAGATGACGAGGGTAACGATTGTATGGCGAGTCCTCGAGTTCGTCCAGAAGCTTTCGAATCACGTACCGTAGGGAGAGAAATCATTCTTGGGGGATAATGTATCATCTGGCAGGGGACTGTGAACAGTGTCGAGTAATAAGTTTGGTGATTTCGGTAGCGTGGGCTTCTGGCAAAGAAAGCTCCCTCAGGTTCGTCGCCATCATCTGTCAAACAGGTCAATTATCTTGCCATCGTCAGTGTCGAGTAAGGTTCGTCCAGTCGTAGATCTTCCGAACATTTGTTCTTGCTTAAGTAGGAATTTCTCCAAGGGACCTTCCTTTACTCCAGTGAACCACGGTTAAACAGAAATACAAAGGAACACTCGTGCGAAGCAACAGCCGTGTACCAACATAGGAACCGAATTCGACGACCCTCTGTATCTGGAATAATGAAACATAATCGCGCGTACGCGTGCTGCAGAGTACCGACCGAACGCTTAGTACACTGCGCGCAACATGGGAGCTCTTCGACCCGCCGCTGTCCCAGCAAAAGGGTTAACCTGGACTGGGCGATAATCATTTGAAACTGAATCCCGATAGAGATAGCGCGATTATCAGCTGTAACGTGGCTATCGGTCGCTGCGAGTCGATGCTGTATCGATACGACCGTGTCAACAAATAAACGGACCGACCACGCACCCCCCATTCTTTGAATGGATTCGAAAGGGAATAGTCTCGGTCAAATCAATACGCATTCGCGACGTAGGGTTGGGAAAAGAGGGGCATGAGGGGGCACAGAGTACAGAACGCGATAGAGCACCGCGGGGAGAGAAATCGGGTTGCGTGCGTGTCACTGGCTGGACGGGTACTCTGGTGCACGTGTCACGGGAGAAAAACAGAGGGTCGTGGTTGAGCGGTCGTGGCGGACGGTCTCGCGCCTGGTAAACACCCGACCCTGTTAATAATTCCGATCTCGTTTGTCCTCTTGGTAGCGGTTTGCCTCGGGATTCCAGGGCGGTAGACAAAGCGCGCCGTTGTTACGCGATATTAGTCGTTTCCGCGATCATCGATCCTTCGAATCTCGGTCGGCAATTTGCGCCAGTTCCAACGTACCGGTGACCATTGACATTTATAGTTGACATTTACGAAGGAATTTCCGAATGTCTCGCTTATTCGATCGAGCCTCCGCCGCGGGTGTAGTGGACCGGTTGGGAGGGTAGAAAGAGTACATCGACCTATAGTTTTACAGTTGGTAGTTTGTGAACTCCGTGTGAAATTCGTGAGCAATTATCCAAACGCGAAGGACGGATAGGGAATATTTTTTTGGGGCTCAAACGAACCGAGAGGACAATGAATGGATTACGACTGGATGAAGTTCGCCCGGCAGGGTTTTGTTTGTACAGCTGCCACCCTCTCGAATCAAAGGCCCTTCGTGCCGAAGAAACATAAACAGTGGTTGGCATGACATCCGATCCGCGAGTCCAAGCGACAAATTTTATCGATACGGTAATGCCTCGAAAATCAGAATGTCTGTCTGTAACTGACACAAGCTACTGTATCGAACAAATTTGTTGCTTCTTCTCGCGATGAGAAGTTGTCCCCATGTTTTCGTCTCTTCAACTCGAACGACCGCATGAAAGGGATGATATCTACGAAAACAAACCGAGTCCGGTCAACTTTATCCTATTGTACCTCATTCACTGTCCCCTTCGAGTGGTTCGTTTGAGCTCGACCAATTCCGAGAGGAAGTTCTCTACTCGTGCTTCGCGTACCGATAGTCGAAGAGTCTACGGAAAAGACGATCACCAAGTCCGTCCCAAATCGAAAGCGAGCCTAAAGTGGGAGTAGTTGCCGCGATTCCTGAGAATCACACGTTGGTCCGGATTATCGATTCACGCGTGCACGAAAGACACACGTGCGCGGCCGCAGTCGAAGGAGCTGAGAGCTTTGGGCGAGATTGCAACAAGTTGCATTTAAAAGCCGTACCCTCCGCACGCCGGCATACTTTCCTTTTTCTCCTTTCTCCTTCCTCTCTGTCCTATCCTCCGCCTCCCACGCCTTACACACGAACCGAAGTCGCATCGTCGCCCTTTCCAAGCCGATTTGCGCTATACTCCGCTCGTCAGCTTAGGGATGGGACTCGATAAGAAGTTCACGGTCCATGTCCCGCATACAGGTACAGCCCTATTGCCATTAGGTACGCCGCTGAGAGGCCGGGCTGTGCTCGTGTTAATGCTATCGACTATTCCTCGCACGAGAGTTCGGCGGATCTACCCATTGAAGACATGGCTCTACATGGTAGAATGTGTATGCACGTACACCCTCGCATAATGCTCGAATAATCAGGAATTATCAATATGCGAAGCACGGGTTGAAAATTGTTTCTCAGAACTGGTCCTACTCGAGCTGGGAGTTCGTGGAGGACAGTGAATGGGACTCTGTTATATCCAGATGTTACTTGCTCGAGTGGCACGAGTGTACATAGCGATGGGAATGATTTATCATGGCATATTTCAAAAAGAACCTCGAGTAATATTTTACATATTGATGCAACCGGAATTTTGTTTTCAACTTATTGATAATCTCGCTACGAGTGGTACTATTTTATTACTTTGTTATGAATTATTTACTTGTCGTGCCAAATGGATGACACGGTCTAATAAGTTATTTAGCTCGTTCTCTATGCTCGGAATGTTGCCTTTGGGATGTTTGAATGATTAACCCGTACGGGAAGCTCGTTTTCGTTGCCATGAATAATCATACATTTTGAACCGAAACCCTGTTGTGTTCTGAACGCCTTCGTTTATTCCATTCATTGATGATCTGTTCTCAGACAAAATATTCGAGCATTGCTCCGCCAATTGATGGTTCGTCATTTTTTTAGCGTTATACAAGGCACTCCTGTACATGGATGCGTATAGACCCGTTTCTGTTGCCACCGACAAACAAACTTCTCCAGCAGAAACTTCGCTGTATTTATAAAACTTGTTATTCGGATTCGCGATCGAGAGTTATCGCGACCACTGTTTATGTTTCTTCAACTCGACCGACCATCGATTGGAGTGGACGGCAGCTGTGCAAACAAAACCCTTCACGTCGAACTTCATCCCATCGTATCCCATTCATTGTCCTCTTCCAGCGGCCCGATTGAGTTCGACCAATTTCAAGAAAGAATTCTCCTCCCGTACTTCGCGTATCGATAATTGTTTACTTCGTATGGTCACTTCGTTGGTAGATCAAGCAAGCCATTTTCTACGCTATATCGCTCACTTCTCGCTTCTTTGACGAAGTAGGGATACTTGGGACACTTTCTTGATTTAAATATCGATACATCGTCATTCGATGATGTAAAGAATCTACAGAAAACGATTAAGAATTGCGATCAACTACTGCCAACATGTTCCTGTATTTTGCCTCGACGATGGATGCTTTCACCTGCCCGCCCTCCGCCGGATGTCGACAGGTCGAGAGGGCCCTTCTTCTTGAAATATCTCGTTACGTGGGTCTCGAGTCGCGACGGCATTTCCCGAGGGTAATTATCGGGCAAACTGATTTAGGGCGACGAGCCGGTCGACGGGTCCTGCACAGCTGCCAACGCATGCATCTTTCAGCCCAGGATCCGCCTCGAGTCTCCTCGAATCCATCTAGACGCGACGAAACAGAGATATCCTCGACTCGTACATTTCGTCGACGTTGCGATCGTTGTCCGCGATTCAGCTGAAAATTACCCCGTCCTCCGGCTGGATCTGTCTCGGTGCCAAACTATGGCAGTCGACGCTATCAGACGGGAGATCGGATGACGCGGCGCTGCTCAAAAATCGCGCAAACTTCGAAATCCTCGGCTGAAAGCATTTAACCATCGAGACGAGTTTTAAACGAGGCTGGGAACTCCCGCGAACGAGAGTGCGAGGGGTAATACCCTTAAGCAGTGATTCTTAACCACTGTACCGTCGCACTTCGGCGTGTCGTAAAGACGATTGAAGTATGTCGCGAACGTTTGTCAAGGAACCTAACGAATCCTTCTTTTCGAATGCTTTCCAGGCTGGTACCGTAATTATTCGACATCAGGAACTGTTTTCTTCGTTCTTCTCTTTAGAAATAGTCTCGGCAGAGTTAAGATTCTTCTCTTTAGCTCATTTCTGACAAGTGGTTTCTTTCAAAAATCCCGAAACTTTGTATATTATTACAGTAATGACTAGTTTTGCACACGTAGCACGTGGAATTTTGTGAAGAAACGAGTCGAAGCGCGGATGTGAGTTGGAAGAGCTGAAGAACCACTGTCTCGAAAGCGACTCGCGACGTCTCCCTTGGTATTTGCACCGAAAGCACCGACGGCTCTCCTCGATTCGTCCCGCAAAGTTTATTGGACAAGATTCGAGACAAGGGTCGAAAATATTTTCGAGTTCTTGCAAGGGTGCTCGTGCCGGGCACCCTTGAAACTCCTGCGAGCTCTGCTTTGAGATCACGGATGGTATTCGCGGTATTTCCACTATTCTCGCCTGTTCGATTGTTGCGTGTTGATTGTTGGGATTGCATCTGGTTAGGAACCTATGCAAACGCGGGAATTGTTAATTGGTAATTGATCGAAGCTAGGAACTGTGTCGTACTTTCGCAATTTAGGAAAAAAGAAACGCCCTTTTACATTACAAAAGGTAGCGAAAAATGATTAAAACAAAGTTGCAATATTTCTGGAAGCACGTATGTAAATTACTGCGAAACTGTGCGAAGAGAAATTCTTTTTCGAAAACGAAATTCAACAAATTTGTCGAGCATTTTTTGTATTAATTGAAAGGCCTCCAGAAACGGCAAACGACGAAATACAAATACAGATAAAAATTTAATTAATTAATATAATAATATCGAGTAACCTTTTAATATTAAAAAGAGGAAACACGTTTTCAACGTGATGATGCTCCAGCACATTTTTAAAAATTCCCACTTTCGTAATGAATAGCTCAAAAGGAAGCAGGAAAATTTTATTTTTTTGACCCATTTAGTTAGAGACGTGACCCCTTAAATTCGATCGACGGAGGACCCTTACCACCGCCAATTAAGACGGTAAACGAGGCGCAGACTCTCCCTTCCATTTCGTTAACTCTTTGATCGATGCACCGGTCAGGCATCGCGAATCCTTCGCCCGTTTCGCTCGTTATGCCATCGAGAATAATTGCCGAATCGTCGTGGCGCGTTTATCGACAGACTCGTGTTTTCGATCCAGTGATTGTGTACAAACGTGCGTGCTTATCCTAGATCGCCTCACGATCGTCTTTCGCGTGCAACGACACGGAGGATTTGGAGGAAGTGGGTGGGAAGGAGCCAAGGATAGAGGTAAAGGACAAGGAAACCGACGACGCTGGACCGACGAACGCAAAACACGGTTAAATCTTGGAGGAAGTCAGCGCGCGGGACCCGACGATGGATCTCACGCTACTCTTGCTCGCCCTGCTGCTCAAGCAAGAGGGTAAGTCAATTTACTCGCTTGAATTTTGAATTGAAACTGCGCGCCGAGAGACGAATACCGTAGCGCTCCGGTGTGCGCGATGATTAGTAGGTAAAGAATAGCGGCTTTTATAATAGCCGTGTCGCGTTTATTCCATGTTCAAACAACGTCTCGATTAACATTCACGGTGTTCTTTATCTCTTTAAACATGCACAGTTCCAGGCTTATCGCGTTTCCTGCTGACTTCAAACTTGTATTACGTTTTTCCGGGACGATGTGTTTCGCGCGATTCTTATCGATCGATCCATGTATGCGCCGTGATAATTAAACTATCGAACGATACGAACTGATTTGAAAAGTGTTCATCGAAATGCCATGGTCCGCTCCGTTTCTTTTTCTATTTTCGGACCTTGACCAAAATCTTGAAAATCGATTTTCACCCATCAATTCGCCGTAAATAAGACGCCACGCGTCGAACGTCTGCCTCCCAGTCCGAGATAAGAAATGCCGATTTCTGAAACGAATTCACGCCCTCAACCCCGGATAAATGCGAATCTCCGGTCCCGATTTTTCGCGCTCAGTCGGCCACTGCCATAAATCGCGTCGAAACGCGCGACAGTAACCGCAAATACATACCTCACCCAACGCTATAGCCGAGCTTTCACATGTTGGACGACCTACAGCGCAAACCACCCGAACCACTCTCTCTCTCTCCCGTAGCAAAGTCGTTCGTAAATCGAACTTTCTCGCTTTGCGTCCGGAACAAAGTACCCGACGGTTCGCCTAATTTCAAAATGCCTATTGCCTCGCCTCCACGGCTGAATAAGATCTTCCCTCGGAGAGGAAGGAAGGTAAAAATTACGAAGGTCTAAAAGGGATCGTCTCCGCGAACGCTGACTGTCGTTTCGGCTTCTGAACGAGGGGGATGGGGCGGGGCAACGGTTTAAAAATGGCACTCTTTCTAATTACGTTCCGCCGTTTCTTCCGTGTTATCGCGGTTTTCCCGTGGCGGGGACGCCCGCGAACTTAGGGAAAAGAAGGCGGGACGCGACTCGGAAACATGGGACAAGGGAGGAGAACGAAAGCAAGAGGGAAAAGAAGCGTCAAAGGACGAGGAAACGGAAGGGGAAAGGGAAGAGGAAGAGAGGGTCCCGCTAGCGAGAGAACCGAGAGGAGGATAGCTGGAATTTATGACGTTCCGGTACACGAGCTTCACGAGGGTGCGAGAAAGAGAAACGGGGGAGCAGGAGGCGAGAATCGTTAGAGGGCAGAGAAATAAAAATCTCGCGGTGGAAAAGTAGAAATTAAACGGAAGTAGGTGAGATCGGCGGTTAACTCGGTACGTCGCGAACGAAACGGACCGAGGGCGAAATATGGGATCCCCGATTCAATTATAAATTTATGTATTTCAATTTGTTTTGCAGAAAATGAAACTGGTCGTTAGAATTTGATAGGGGTGGTAGAGGCACTCGCTGTTTTCCGAATTACCGTTTATGCTAAACGAATGCAGAATACACGCGCTAAGGCGAACGGAATTTTAGTATCGTTGTATTAATTTATAAAACGTATTCAGCGTGTAATTGAAATATTCGAGATACAGTCAGTCTCGTAAGTCTAAATTAAATAACAGACTTCGTGTTTCCAAATAAATTTTTCATTACAAATTGTATACGTGATTAAACTTTGCACGTCTTTGCACAAGTACTTGTATCCTCTACGTCTAATAAAAAAATTTGAAATTAAATGATAGGCTCGACGGTTCCGAAAATGTTCCATTATAAATATATACATGAATAAACTTTGCACATCTATATATTTATAATAGACATTTGGAATCGTCGAGCCTATCAATTAATATCGACCAATTTCTTCAATAGACACAGAAGGGGTACGAATACTTATAGGACTGACTGTATACTCTACCTATAACCCAACGCGTTTAGAGAAAATTTTAAACGTCCAGAGCAAAGCTTAAACCGAAGTGCCGCAGACTATTGAAAATCAATCCGTTCGTATAAAACGAAATGAAATGGAATGCGTGTTCCTCGGTGAATATTTTCCATTGTAAAATATTCTTATGAATATATTTGCGCAACAGGTATTAAAAGTATCGAGTTGCAACTGATAGGTGCGAGTACGTCTAAAAATTTATGGTACAATTAAAAGAAATTAGAAACGTTGGTTCCAACTATAAAATTACGCAAATTCGTGAAACATGCCACGCGTACGTTTTCGATGGATGATCTCACGGGTGCCAGTATTCGCTCGCTAACGGAAAGTTCCCATAAGAGCACCTATTTCCTAACGTTTAAATAATTTCTGCTGCTCCCACACGAATGTTTGACTTCCCTATTTGTATCCGCTGATTGCTCCACTGTGCGGTGAGGCGGAGTCGCGTATCGTCGATGAACGTTTAAAATTCAAAGAGAAAGCGATCTCTGTGATAGCGTCTTGTCTGGCGCTAGACGAAATAAGGGAAGCAGAAGCGTTTTCGGTCGCATCGAAATTGAAGCAAACGCGCGCCGAGCATCGCAAGCAGCTCCGTATATCTACGAGGTTCGAAGGAACAGGGGTCAGAGAGGGTTGGACCGATATGAAATTTTCAGACGATAAACTCGAAGGTAAAACGACTCGTCGAAGAGAATGGATTAGCATAAATAAATAAAACGCGCGCCAAGCTAGATTATCGAAAGCCCTCGAACAACGACGAAGACGTCCGCGGGGGATAGAAACCGACAAATTAATTGCGTAGGAGAAGGGAAACTCGGTCGACCGGTCACGTTCATAAATTATCGGTATTATGCCGAAGAGACGCGCGTCGCGCCCCGCCGTTTATCAATACCGTTGCGTTATAACGCGTCCCGTCGAGCGCGACAGGATGGTCACCGCTTTTATAACGGGATAATATTAACTGTAAATATTTGTCCGTCGCTCCATTTGCGGCCACGCTCGACAATCGCGCATACATAAACGTTAAACGAAGCCCCGGCCGAACGCGGGAAACCTATAATTTTGATTTTCGTTGGCCGTGCCGCTGCGTCGCCTCTATGCGACCACCACAGTCGAAAAGTAAAGCGAATTGTTAAAAAAAAAAGAGAGAACGCGATTGTTTCGGCACACTGGACGATTCTGCAGGCTTCGACGAGCCGCGGCTTTGTTGGGAAGTTTAATCTCGCGATAGATATTATTTTCTATAGGTGACACGTTAACGCGTTCGTGCCAGTTGGATATTTCCTCGCCGTTTCAATGCGAGTGCAGTTGTTATTCTATAACGTCGTTGCTTTATCAGCGGTAAGTGTCGTTTTAGCCAACACTTTGCGCGTGCTCGATTTTAAGTTTCTTTAAACGCTCGCTGGTGCACCTGAAACTGACACCTAAGTGTTTTGCTTGTCACACATATCGATAACACCTTTGACACCGTTCGAACGTGTAGTATACGTGCTACAGGATGATAATGCATTAAATCCATTGTGTAACACCTGCGGCTCGAGCTCTTGGCTGCGCCTATCTTGTAGGCGGGTTCACGCTAGAATTCAGGGGTGCGTCGACCTGGCCAGGGATACCGTACCGCTCGAACGTGTAATATATCGAACACTCGCGATTAGATTCGTGGTAACGCGGAGGATACCCGATCGCGAACGCGAGTAGCAAATTTTATCGATACCCGAGGCATTACCCATCGACGTCTCACCGTGCCTTTGGGTTTTACCGAGTCCCAACGGCGGGAGTGCGTTCGCTATAGACACCGATAACCCGATAGATAGAAGGATCGGATCGAAAAGCAGGGAAAAAAACCGAGAAAAGCGTACGACACGCGGTAAAGAGTTAATTTGACGAGCGATCGTCAGTTTGCCTTTTCATGGGCGACGATCGCGCGAGTTTTCTCGTTACCAAGCAGAAGGTCGAACCGCTGTTGCGTATGTGATTTATCGATCGGCATGCGGAGCAAAAACGTGAAAAACGACGCCGAAAAGAGGCAGTTGGCGGTCGGGCGCAGTGGAACGAGGACAGTCCAGGCCAGACGAGGCGACAGGACAGGAAAACGAAAAATGATTGACGCGCATAACGAAGACAAATTAAAAAGAAGAACCTCGCCCCGTGTTGTGTCCGCTGTTTCGCTCGCGCTTGCGTCCTCGATCGGACGAAGAGGGGGGTGAAAGCTAACGGTGTTATCCCAAGGGAATGAGTGCAAGGAACGCGGAAAAGACGAGACGGGAAATAAGCACCCACCGTCCGAGCATACGCCGGACTCGGGAATCGAAAACGCACTCGGAGTAAGCGGTTGGGCGGCGGTTATATCGCTTCCTCGGTCGCGAGTCGTTTCCCCTACAGCCACCCCTGCCTGATGAAGATAAAACGGGATAATTATAGAGCCTATCGGGGATCGTGGCGCGGCTAAATTTCGTCGGGACACGCGAGATCGTCGAAAGAGGGCTGGCAATAAAGGGAAGCCGGGCTTAAGTAAAAAGAAAGAGAAAAAAAACACGACCGAAGAGGGAATAAACTCACCGCTGGGGAAGTAAAAAGGGTCGGGGGTGGTGACGGTGGAAGGGGCGAGGCAGGGGAATGCCGAGAACGGGATGTCATTAATTTTTCATACGGACTTGGCACATCTGCGTTCGGTCGGCCACGCTCTGCAACCCCCCTAATTATTTCTGGCTCATCATTTTTCTGCCCGCTTTCTCCGCCCGCTCCGTTTCCAACCCTTTCTCTTTCTCTTTCGCGGTTTCTTTTCCCGACCGCCTCTCGAGTCGCGCTGTCGCCGTTGATACGAACCGTACTCCCTAGTTGACAAATGCGCAGCGGTACCGTCGTCGTCGTCCTTCTTTCCATCGGGAATCGAGAAGTATGCTTATCGACGGGTCATTAGGTCGGAAGAGTATCGTAATTGAGCGCGCCCCGTCCCCTCGCTCGACGACGCTTCCCCTCGTCGGTCAACCCGGTGCACGGTGTGGTATTTCAGCAATTTGCCGGGGACAAGACTATCGCATCAAGGAAATAATAGTTTTTGTTCGTTGGCT